AAAATTGACCTCAAGGTCAAAACCAATGGTACAATTGAATGACCCCCTCTGTCCTGGTCAACTTTTATCTAAACCATTTTTTTGTAGATACCGTAATTTGGAAGATATTCGGATCCATAGACTAAAATGACTCACCCTGTATACTGTTACGTTATTTTTCTTCAGTTACGTAATTTCTTCTTACCATTTTATTTATTTGTAATCCCGCGTTTTCCTTTTTTACTTGTTTTTACAGTTTGTTTAATCAACTTCTTTCTCATTCCCGCTGCAATAATCGTTATTAAAATATGCATAAGTTTTTCCTTTCATATTTGTGTTTCACAATCAGTCAGTTATAATTCTATTTGAAACAGATGATCTAAATATATTCTCTACTGCACAATATTTATTTTACAATAGCTTACATCTTTCAGCAATTTCAATATTTTTTTACAAGATTTCCAAATTGTGCTGTATTCTTACACTGTATGCGACGATTTAAATGTGTGATGGATAAGTCATTTATATATATATATAATGTACGTAATTCAAATAATCCAAACTTTATATCCAACACCTCCTACATTCGTCCCCATGCCGACACAAATGACCCAATATACGTACGAAACACGTTTGTTAGTGAAGTTGAAGTGGAGTAACATATAGGACGACAGACTTGAAGAACCAAAGATCTCGAGTTCAAATCCAATGTGAGCAAGGAATTTTTTCCAAGACAATATACACTGAGATACTTACGTTCTACATGATTAGGAAGAGTTCAATAATAAAAGCCACTGGTGTCATCTCTAAAAGACACAAATAGCATTTCATAGAACTAAAAATTTTAACTAGGACAGTCTATCTACTGATGATGAGATATGCCTGATGCAGAAAATAAACTACATCACTAGTTATATTTTTTTGTCTAACTATTAGGTAACTTATGTTATATCCTCATTAGGAAAAGTGATATTGCCTAGTAACTAGTTTGGTTTTTTACCATAATTATGTTGTTTCTTTTATCTTATCATTAGTTAATATATTGCATATAGCTATTCGCAAAAGCGTTACATTATTGGTTCATCACTGTCTAGTTACACTAGCTAATAACTATGTGTATGTGTCTGTTGGATACAACTTTATTATATAATGACTAGATTCTCATAAGGTGCAAATTCTACTCGGGTAGTTTTGGCCTGTTTATAGCCGGCACATCTTGCTCAATTTTTGCCGTACATTTGCCATCACGCCTTGCTCGGCACGTCTTGCTCGCTATTTGCTGCAAATTTGTCGTTACACATTGCTCGACACGTCTTGTTCGGTTTTTGCAGCACTCTGCCCTCGAGTAATTTTGGCATGCTTTGCCGACATAATGCCAGCATAATGGTAGTATACCTGCTGCAAATTTGCTGCAATCCTATGATTGATTTTGCCAGCAATTTGTCGGCATATTGCTGACATTTTGCTATCAGAGTTATTATTAAATTCTTGGATTGGACATTGTGTGTCCCAATATAATTGCGGAAACTAGACAAGACTCTACGACAGATATTGTTTTCCTAACAATTCCAGCCAGTACAACAGGACAAATACAACTATTAGATATATACTTCCAATTATGGAAAAATTATGGATCTCATATATATCATGAAAATTTAATATTTCTTCTTCTATTTTAAATTCTTTTTCATTTCCTATTTTTTCAACATATATTCACTCTTCTCCTTCATTTCTACTTCCTTTGGAATAATCGAGTTTTGTGGAAGGTTAAGGGCAGTGAAAATTGCGTATATAGTAACATTATAACATTAAATTATATATGAACTAAATTATATATAAAGCTCCTTTATATTATTCAAATAACTAACAAAGATACTAAGGCTTAAGGAGTAAACACGGATGTAGTAGTGTTATCTTTATTCAATATTACATTCGTGTAATACTAAAGTTTATTGTAGAAGGATAAATTGTCAAGCGTGTCAGACGTACGTCCGAAATTTTCTTTCGGTAATCGTACGCGGCGAATCAATCTTCCTTACTTAGACCGATATTGTATCCCAGTATTGACGCGAATATTTTATTCCCAAACCCAATACTCCTGAGTATTTGATTCCTTTTTTTTATTAATTACTTTTAAATGTTTATTAAATTAATTAGTTTTAAATGCCTCAGTGGCTGAATTAGTGAAGGTCCCGTCCGAATAGCGGGGAAGTTTCAGGTTCGAGTCTTGGCTGAGGTAGTATTTTTCGCAACATTTAAAAATAATTAATAAAAAAAGGAATCCCGAATTCTGTTTAAGTTAACAAGATTTTTGGTTGACTTAAATAGAATTCGGCTTCAATCGGAATTTCAAGACCGTTCATTTTCGACCAAATATTTAGTTAATTCAATCAAATCTTTTCTCCATGTATGATAATATAATCGATCTGTTATCGTTTTCCTTATATTATTGTGTTATTAAATCTTGCAATTGTTGTTTATACTAGAAATAATTCTCTCTGAAAAAGGCATGTAAGAAATTTAATTGTTGCCGCTTTTCCGCGATGCTGATTGGTTCTCTCGCTTAGCTCACTTTATGTGAGTTGCGGCTTGCTTTGTGTCGTTTGCGCCTATCAAACAAATCAGACAAATAGCTACAATCGTATAGGTTGGGTTACGAAGAAAAAATACAGAAGAGATATGTCTCTCCCTGTCTCTTCTTGTTTCTCCTTGTTTCTTCGTGTCTCTCTGTGACTCTCCCTGTCCCTGCCTATCTCACCTCTTCTCTCCCTGTCTCTTCCTTTCTCTCTCTATCTCTCTTTCTCTCTCTCATTCATTTATTTAGGCATATGACTTGCGACGAGTTTTTCCTCCACTTGCCGCAAAATACCTTCCCTCGCTCCGCTCACGAAACTCAAAAAGTTGGGCGCCAGGTGCGGAGCAGGCCGCACCACCTTACAAAATAATTGTTACGAAATACTAACTCCAACGTAAAAGATCGCGGAACGAGATCGGTACGGGTCCGGTAGCTCACTTGTGATTTAAGTCGGAGATGGGAGTGAGTCAGGTTCGGGAAAAACATTCTACGATACGATAGGTTGTCCAAACAGATAGCGTACGAGAGGTGTAACTTTTAACAATGATGGTTTATTGTAATTATGCATGATCTGATTTTACATTAGAGACCATAACCGATAGAAACCATATACGACATGGACCAATCACGAGAGCTCACGCGACTCGGATCGTAACTGCGCGTTAACGGTAACGGTCGCCTCGCTGATGACCGGACTCCTTCCGCCCACCAACGATCGCACGACACGTTAATTTCGCAACAATCGTACTAATTCTCTTTTGACAATCTGTCACGAAACGAAGAGCGGTAACCGGGCTGAAAGATATTTTCTCTAGTCAGCGCGAATCGGGATAGATTATCCGCTCCGATACCTCGGTTCGGACCCAGCCAGGCAATTGCTATGATAGAGAGAGACACGGAGAGGGAGAGACAGGGAGAGACAGGAAGGGACAGGAAGAGACAGAGAGACATGAATAAAAAGGGAATCAATAAAAGGACAAAACAGTAAAAAACCAAGAGAACAAGAAAGGAATATGTAAAGAAGTTAAAGAATAGAAAAGTTAGCTAGGGAAAGACAGGAAGAAGCAGAGACAGCCAGGGAGAGGAAGAGACAGGGAGAGACAGCCAGGGAGAGGAAGAGACAGGGAGAGACAGCCAGGGAGAGACAGGAAGGGACAGGGAGAGACAGAGAGAGACATAAATAAAAGGGGAATCAATAAAAGAGCAAAACAGTATAAAACCAAGAGAACAAGAAAGGGATATGTAAAGAAGTTAAAGAAAAGGAAAGTTAGCCAGGGAGAGACAGGAAGTAGCAGAGACAGCCAGGGAGAGGGAGAGACAGGGAGAGACAGAGAGAGACATGAATAAAAGGGGAATCAATAAAAGGACGAAACAGTAAAAAACCAAGAGAACAAGAAAGGGATATGTAAAGAAGTTAAAGAAAAGGAAAGTTAGCCAGGGAGAGACAGGAAGAAGCAGAGACAGCCAGGGAAAGGGAGAGACAGGGAGAGACAGCCAGGGAGAGGGAGAAACAGGGAGAGACAGAGAGAGACAAGAATCAAAAACAGACTTGACCGGTTTATTCTATGTCTAAAGGACTGTTTGAGTACTCAAGAACGAACACACGTGGTTTATAAAATCAATTGTCTCAATTGTGATGCATCATATGTTGGCCAGACAAAAAGACAGCTGCATACTTGTATAAAAGAACATCATACTCACATTTCACGCACCACTACACAACCTTCTCCTATCACGGACCATAGATTACAGTTTAGCCACGATTTTGATTGGGACAGTGTGAATCTAGATGTTGAACGGAATTACCTTAAATGTCTCATCTGCGAGGTAATATATATAAAAAAATCAGAGCAATGGCTTGAATCTTCAATCTGATATTGACGCATTGAACAATATTTACTTCCCGCTTCTTGATACGATCCGTGATAGGCTGTCTTGATGTTTATTCTACTTTCTGTGTTTCGTATTTCGCTCCTCTTACTTCTCAATCTTGTTTATAAGTTTTCACTTTGAATTCACTGTCGCACTTCAGCCGTTTCTCTATGTCTAGTATGTGTGATTATTGTATTCTGACTGCTGGACTGTTTTGGACTGTGCTGGAACTCTCTTTTTTAATCTTTCTTCTCTTTGGTAAGACAATTATATTACATACTCCACCATCGTATGAATGTGTTTTACGGCGTTTTTTGATGTTTTATATTTTCTTACTTATTTTATTAAACATTGAAACAATAAACTTGAGATTTTGGTGGAACACAACTATTACAGCTACGTAATACGATAATATTCACTATACTGCGACGTTCATACGTTTTGTAACAATTTTGATTGAAAAAGTCCACATTAATCGAAACGTTTTATGTAAAACACTGTTATGTATCTTTTAATTATAGCACATAATAACTGCATATTGGCTTTTTGTCCTTGGAAGATTTTTAATTTTGTTTGATTTTTTGATAACCTTCGTTTCAATTTTGAACCATGATAAATGTCGTTGCTTCCCAGGCTCAGTCGTACCAGAGGTATGAAGAATCAAAGAATAGCGCCTTACCCTAACGTTGCCACACATATGTGGCAGAACCGACAGCAGGTTTCATCGCACCCCGGCCAGAGTCTGGCGGTAATGCAGCCGGGTGGCTTCAACAACATGACGACATCGCAGTACTCAAACAACTATCCTAGCGGTGCATATCCAAACTTTCAGCCGCAGTATCAGCAGCCTACGCAGCGCACTCCTAAGGCCGCCATCGCCGAGGCCATGGCGGCGCTTTTCGGGCCTAACACAACGATACGGAGGTCGCATATGAGGGAGACGACACCATCTTACAACGCCGCGTCGCAGGTAGCAGCGACGGTCGCCACGAACCAATATTACAGCAACGCTGACGTACCCGTCAGCATGGGGCCAACGAGCACGGGAACGGTCGGCAATCAATTCGTAGGTCATCAAGAGCCGAACGCGGGATACGGAGGCGGCGGTGACGGTGGTAGCGCTACCGGGACCTGTGGCGCCGCGTCCGCTGGCACCGTGGCAACCAGCCAATACCAGCAGGACGTGGCGGTGTCGATGAAGTCGACGAGTGGCGGCAACGTGAGCTATCAGCACAGACCCATACCCGGCAACCTGACGCCGCCGCTGACGCCCGCTATCAGCAGTCCAAATCCTAATCGCAACCCGAGCTTCAACGACATGAAGTCGCCGGTTAACATACAGAGTGAGTGTCAGACTAACGACAAGAGCAATGATCAACCTTAAAGCTTGATCTACAGTGTGTTATTTGCTTCCTGTTTTTTTTTCTTTATCTCTTTCTGACTCACAACTTAAGCCTTAAACTAAAAAAAGACAGAGAACAAGAAACAGAAAGCAAAGAGCACCTTGTAGATTAGGCTTAAGACATCCTAGATGAATGTTCTATGTTCTAATAATATTCTCTCTCTAACGCTAATATAACTCGTGCCAATGCACAAAAGTTTAGGAGAAATCGTAATGTAAAATTTATCCTGGTGCATGATATACCACTCCAGAGAAGCGAAAGTCAAGAAGCGAGTATAGTCGAACATCAGTTGTCGAGTGACAACTGATAGCATGTAACAAGCTTTAGATAGCATACGACATTATAATACAAAAGTGAAGATACAACATGGAAGATATATATAGCAATATAAAGGAAATATCTCTAATTTAATGACATGGGAATGTAATTCTTTACAGATAAAAGATATTTTATTTTTTCATTGAAAAGCGAATCATTACTTTTTCTACAATAGTTGTTTGAAAAGTGTATGAATTTTAATAATTTCGAAATACTTTTTGTTATTTATTTGATTGCACTCTTAAGAAAAAACAGCGAGATAGAAAAACGGTTGGAGAAGGCAGGGATTGGACGCATAATGTCCAACCATTCTGGCCGACCGCCATACTTGTTCAGCTACGTTCGGTAACTTCGCTTCTATTAAAGCAGTATATATACTATACGCACAGTAAACTTTAAACTACGGTTTATTGTAAACTTTTGCGCATTGGCACGAGTTTTATTTGCTAGAAGCAATGTATTACTATAATACATTAAAAATTTAGCCAAGTACCTTGGTTATCAAAGGTTGATCATTCCTTTATGAGAAATTTCTTCCAATTGAGAATAACCCTTGCGCGTACCAAATATTGCAATACTATTGGTTATTTCAAATATCTATATAATCGTAAAAAAAGAGACTAAAAATTTAGAAAATTCAAGAAATTCGGAAAAATGAATAATCAAAAATAATAAACTATTATTTATTTATTTATATAATTTCTTTATTATTATTATTAAATAATAAATAATGAAATCATAATTTTTATATTTATGTGACGTCGTTTTGTTTTGTGTTAATTGATGGTTCCCTATTCCAGGTGACGAAATAAGAATGACATTCCATATGAAAAACGTCATTTCTTTTCACCTTATTTACCTAAACCACAATCAGATCATTTACAAAAAAACGTTCAAACTTAAGCCTACGGTGCACCAGACACTGATGAGGCAATCCGATATAGAGCTGCAGCTCAAGTGTTTCCACTACCAGGACAAGCAGAAGAGTACGAATTGGCCAGCGAATATACTGATCTGGGTTAACGAGAAACCTTTCATCATCGATCGCGGAGAGAACAAAACTAGCCACAAGCCTCTTTACTTGAAGGAAGTCTGTCGAATAGGAAGGAACACAATACAGATTACTGCGCTCACATGCTGTTGTGTAAGTTCATTGATATCAATAATTAGACGGAATGGCGTTATAATTCGCAATTAAAAGATATATGCTCTCTTCACGAACGAAGCCTCGATGTGGTGTTTGAGAGTGAATTCTCTTTGTTAACGTTCGATTTAATTCATTCTTTGTGCGCAAAGCAATTTTTTGCCGTATGTTGTATGCGGTTATGTATACGCGTGCATGTATTTCCTAACATTTTTTCTTTTTTTTTCTTTATCTGCAATTTTATTTTTATGATGAATGTTCCATATAGTCGCATCGACTCGCCCTCCAAATGGTTCGTCGGCCCACTGTGCGAAGTATACTTGAGAAATTACTACTTGAGAGGCTCCTGGCGACAGAACATTGCATAAATAAAATCAAATACAATTTCAATAGTATAATCAAACAAAATTTCAATAGTATAATTTCGACCAATGTCATACAGTCGGAGAGTAATGGAGTGGGGCAAACAGTACTAAAAGTAATATTTGTAGAGATATTTCATAGCTCTCTTTGGTTATAGCAGCTCTTTGATTCTAAAGTTCAAGCGTAAGATATCACTCTCGTTACATTCTTAACTATTTTCTTGCTTGTAGGTATCTTTAAAATGTCCTATCACATTTAAACGCATCATACAACCAGCTAGGGGGAAATATTGCATGCATGTGCAATGCTTCGATCTGGAGTCGTATTTGCAGTTAAATTGCGAACGAGACTCTTGGAAGTGTCCGGTGTGCTCGTAAGTACGATTAAATTGGATGATATAATAAAAAATCTTTGCGTCGGAAAGTTTCCTTTGTTAGTCAAATTGAGAAAGAATGAAAGGGAGAAGAATCGAAGGAAAAGATAAATCGTGGTGTATCTTGCAGGAAACCCGCACAATTGGAAGGCTTGGAAGTTGATCAGTATATATGGGGGATTTTAAATACATTGAATTCCGCGGAGGTCGACGAAGTAACGATAGACTCGCAAGCTGCTTGGAAAGCCGCGAAGAGCAGCTTAGCCGGTATCAAGTCCGAGGAGGAGAATGAGTACAAGAGAACGACGGCCAAGACGATGTCGCCGGGCAGCATGAATATGCCGACCATGAACAACTGGGAGATGAATCAAGCCATGAGTCCTTACATACCACCCGACATGAGCAGCATCGTGAGCGGATCAATGATGAGCAACATGAACCATCGAAACACTTCGGGCGGAACGTACGAGATCAACTCGGCGACGAACACCTCCGGTAGTAACGATTACGTCGGCGGCACGGATCCTCTCTCGCACTTGAACGAGTCCGTTAATACGTTGGATACTCTCAATGTTATAGAGAAGTTAATCAACGAACAGGTATGGTTCTTTACGATACTAATATTAGTACTCAGACACCATGAAGTGTCCTGAGAATATCCAGGATGTGTTCTGGACGTTTCAACATTTTGACAACCAACCGAATTACGTTGCATGATTTTTGCGCTTCGTGCGCAAAGTAATAGATTTTACTTTAAACTGTTATAACTTTCGCAATATAAGGATTAAGAACATTTAAAAATAAACAACAGAAATTTGAAAATAAGATGCATCTATCATCTCTTTATTATATATATTAACAGATTAAATTATAAACTTATAAAATTATTTTTTCTTAATCCAAGAAAAAAAATTGTTCAAACTATATTCTATTCTATTCTTCTGCAGAACAGAATCGAAATATTAATATTTACCATAAAATCTAATTTTTAATAGGGATTTTGTTAAGTAGCTCAATAGACATATATAAAAAAAATTTATATTCATTTAAAACTTTTTATAACTTCCTAAATTTTACCTCATTTTTATTCTTGTCCTGTAACCTCTTAAATACTCATAGCGATATGCAAAAAAGATAAATCTACCCATTTCTTATTTTATGATAAAACAGTTAAATCTGCTTCTTCAATGTCGGTAATATATTAAAACTTTCCTCACGATATCCTGAACATACTTAGGACATTTTGAAACGCCCCTCAGGACTTAGATACGCTCAAGACGTTCCTAAAGTCATTCCGGAATGATACTAAAGCCGGTATTGATAGTCGAATCTTATTTCAAGATCGTTTTAAGTACCCAGATAGCCAAACCTGCGCGAACAGATTTCGAGCAGAACTTGCTATCAACTTTTGAGGGTAAATAGATAACAAACTTGATGCAGGATCTGTTATATCAAATCTTGCTGCCAAATTGCCGCCAGATATGCGGCAGAGCTTGTTGTCGGATAATTGCTGCAGATTTGCAGCAAAAACCGCGCAGAGCTTGTAGCGACTTGACGGCAGAAACCGCGCAAACCTTGCTGCGCTGCAAGCTTTGCGCGGTTTTTGCTGCAAATTTGGCACCAATTGCCCGACAGCAAGATCTGTCGCCAAAACCGTAGCCTAATGTAGATACAGATGGCTATGGTTTTGCTGTGGGTTTTTGATCAAATTTTCTGCCAATCTGCGCGCAGTCTGCGCTCAATTTGCTTACTGGGTAATGTCTTAAAATGCGAATACGGCTCTGTGATTGGTTCATGACATCTTAAAATAGTACTTAAGATGATCTTAAATATAAGATCGGACTTTGAATACCGGCCAAAGGCATAGTATACGATAGACAATACGATAGACTTTTAACGTGTTGTGCACACGTTTTAGATGTCTCATACTCCACATACGCCGCACACCTCGCAATCGACATCTCACACTCCGTTTGGTGGCAACAGCGGCCCGCCGAGTGTTCCAAGCAACAACACCACCGCGTATATACCGCCGAATCTAAATATCGACTTCCTCGTTGACACCTTCACAGACGGGGAAGGCACTGGTCGGGAGCAGTTAAATGTGAGTACACATGCTTGCTAAATCATTATTCATCTCGATTCTTCTATGAATAGGAATCTCAGTCTCGTTGTGAGGGTGTAGTAATTTTCACATCATTTCAATCACTTTAGTCAATTTTAACGACGCGTTGTGTGTTTTTCTTCTTGTTACAGTTCTTGCCAGACAATGAGGACACGATAGATTACATGTCAGATTTCGATCTACTGGACTCAAACACTCTGCCCAGCAGTGATAATTTTTCCTCTAGCGAAGACATATTAGCGTTTATCGAATAAAAAGAAAGGAACGTGCGAATTGGTATTTTATAAGGGTATAATCAAATCGCAACTCGCACTTTTTATAAAGTGACAAGAGAGTGAAAGAGAATGAGAGTGAGAAAGGAAGGAGAGTTAAGGGGGGAAATCCAATTAGAACTTTCAAAAAATCGAATTTTTTTTTTT